GGTCTGTGCGAAGCATGTGCATAACGATGCTCAGAGCAGGCTGTACCTGTGGTAAATATACGGCCCTCAGACAGAACAGGCAGGTTGTCGATGAGTGACAGAGCAGAATAAGGATGGAGCAAAGTGTGGCTGCGCTGTCCTTGAAGGACGTTCAACTCGGTTTTGTTTATATTTTGCTTGGCCTATAGTTTAAAATGAAAGATGTCGTATTTATTTATTTTTCTCTGCGACACTTTTCCTACTGTGTTAACAGAAATGTCAAACGAATTTAGTATTTTGACAAGATGAATAAAAATAGCTAATAGGCTATTTTTGTACAGCCTACTTTTTCTTTTTTTTTTTCTCTCTGTGACACTTTTTCCCTATTGTGTTGTCAATGTTAAACGAATTGTATCCTGACAAGACGAATAAAAATAAGAAATACAATTTTTGTACAATTTTATTTTCTCTAACTTTTTTTTCCTACAGTGTTGCATAAAATATTAAACAAATTTTGTGTCTTAAGATAATTCATATAAATTTCAAGTCAAAGTCAATAAATTCAAGACTCTTGGCAAGACGAATAAAATAACATACAATTTTGTGCAGACTACACTTTTATTTGTCAGCCTATCTCTCTTTCTTTCAGTAGCATAAATTTAAATGTGAGATTCTGGAAACGAGATCTAAATTTAGCGGGAACGGTCGGGTCGGGAAGAAAATCATTCTAAGCAGACAGCGAGTGAACAAAGAGTGAATATATAGGGGGGGCGGGTGGGTGCGGAATAGAACCTTGTGGGGGCGGGACTAAAAAAAAAAAAAGTCGCGCGCAGACCTCTACCTTCTGCTTTGGGATTCTCCGCTAAAACTTCACAGACTTCAGTGAACGAGCACCGCCGCGCGTATGTGCGCCAAACAGAGACAGAGCGCAATTAAATAGGAGTGCAATAATTCTGACTAAAATATAAATTTCTCTGAAATATTTGTAGTTGGACAATAAATGTGACGTGTAGAATTTTAAACCTACAAGTAAGTCTTTTTTTATGATAGCACTAACTGTAATGGGGTAATCAAAATAACCTAACACAACTCTGTGCTTTTGTTCTCATTTATTTTCATTTTTAGTTTAGTGAATTTAACTTCCACTTTAAAAGCCTTATTTTTGTTTTTAGATTGCAATGTTACAATGTTAGAACGAAATGTGATTTTAACCCTTTTTGCACATAATATAAAAGCTTAAATGGTTACGTTCACTTTATTTGTTTTCATGGTCTTTAATATGTATTGGTTTTTTTGGACAACATTGGGCGGTAAGTGAAATGTATATATTAAATACAGATTTTTTTTAAATCCAAATCCAAAAACGAAAATACCGAGGTATATACCGTATATCGCAAATCGGCCAAAAAATACAGAGATATGAATTTTTGCCCATATCGCCCAGCCCTAATTTGTAGCACAGAATTTCCTTTTCTTTTAAGGAATGTTCTCTGCTACTCTTATGTACTCAATTTTTCTTTCTTCCCCGCAGCAATTTTATAAAGTCGTGCCTATTAAGGACATTAGAAACTTGTATGTGACCTACCCTATCCCAGACCTGCAGAAGTACTACAAATCAAATCCAGGTCATTATCTGGGCCATCTGATTGGACATGAGGGTCCAGGGAGTCTTCTGTCTGAGCTCAAAGCTAAAGGTGAGAGAGTTTGTCAGGAAAGGTAGGTTTTTCTTTGAGTGCCCAAATGATAAAATGTGCAAAAAATTAAAGATAATTTGCCACGAAGACATCAAATTAGCATTTGACTGGTAAAATGGCTTGGTTACATAAATTTTAGATCTCAGCCATGCATTGTGTACATGGATTCATGGATGCACGGTGTCTCTCCTCAGGATGGGTGAACACGCTAGTCGGAGGCCAGAAAGAAGGAGCCAGGGGATTCATGTTCTTCATTATTAATGTGGACTTGACCGAAGAGGGGCTGTGTAAGGACCTAGAGTGTTTTTGTGTGTGTTTTGGTGCTGGTCAGTATGTTTTTGATGGCTTGAGTTGTATTTCCTGTGTCTCTAGTGCATGTCGAGGATATCATCTTCCACATGTTCCAGTATATTCAGAAGCTGCGGACAGAGGGCCCTCAAGAGTGGGTCTTTCAGGAGTGTAAGGTATGAACATGCTTGTTAAAGTAGAGTCCTGCAGTGCAAAGAGTGGAAAGATTTGTGAGTTCCAGTCATAGAAATGGAATTTACTGTGTAAATTGATAGCACTGACTGTAAAGTGACTGTAATGGGGTAATCAAAATAGACTAACACAACTCTGCTTTTGTTCTCAATTATTTTCATTTTTAGTTTAGTGAATTTAACTTCCACTTTAAAAGCCTTATTTTTGTTTTTAGATTGCAATGTTACAATGTTAGAACGAAATGTGATTTTAACCCTTTTTGCACATAATATAAAAGCTTAAATGGTTACGTTCACTTTATTTGTTTTCATGGTCTTTAATATGTATTGGTTTTTTTGGACAACATTGGGCGGTAAGTGAAATGTATATATTAAATACAGATTTTTTTTAAATCCAAATCCAAAAACGAAAATACCGAGGTATATACCGTATATCGCAAATCGGCCAAAAAATACAGAGATATGAATTTTTGCCCATATCGCCCAGCCCTAATTTGTAGCACAGAATTTCCTTTTCTTTTAAGGAATGTTCTCTGCTACTCTTATGTACTCAATTTTTCTTTCTTCCCCGCAGCAATTTTATAAAGTCGTGCCTATTAAGGACATTAGAAACTTGTATGTGACCTACCCTATCCCAGACCTGCAGAAGTACTACAAATCAAATCCAGGTCATTATCTGGGCCATCTGATCGGACATGAGGGTCCAGGGAGTCTTTTGTCTGAGCTCAAAGCTAAAGGTGAGAGAGTTTGTCAGGAAAGGTAGGTTTTTCTTTGAGTGCCCAAATGATAAAATGTGCAAAAAATTAAAGATAATTTGCCACGAAGACATCAAATTAGCATTTGACTGGTAAAATGGCTTGGTTACATAAATTTTAGATCTCAGCCATGCATTGTGTACATGGATTCATGGATGCACGGTGTCTCTCCTCAGGATGGGTGAACACGCTAGTCGGAGGCCAGAAAGAAGGAGCCAGGGGATTCATGTTCTTCATTATTAATGTGGACTTGACCGAAGAGGGGCTGTGTAAGGACCTAGAGTGTTTTTGTGTGTGTTTTGGTGCTGGTCAGTATGTTTTTGATGGCTTGAGTTGTATTTCCTGTGTCTCTAGTGCATGTCGAGGATATCATCTTCCACATGTTCCAGTATATTCAGAAGCTGCGGACAGAGGGCCCTCAAGAGTGGGTCTTTCAGGAGTGTAAGGTATGAACATGCTTGTTAAAGTAGAGTCCTGCAGTGCAAAGAGTGGAAAGATTTGTGAGTTCCAGTCATAGAAATGGAATTTACTGTGTAAATGGCCGGTCACACTACACTTTTCGTTCCATTGACTTCCATTCATACGCATGCGAATGCGGGAGAGTGGAAACGCAAGCTCATGCAAAGTTGTTCCAAAGTTCAAGTTTGGTGAACTCTGACCTGAGAATTCATATGACGTGAAAACGTGACCAATAGAAGATCGATTGCCACACCATGACCTCGTAGCTGAATTAAAAAACATAAATATAAAACGGCAGCGCTACTGAAAAGTGGAGTAGATTGTATGTTTTTACATTTTGGATTTATTATTATTGTTGAATTAAAAAATTTTTTAAAACATGCTGCAGAGCATGACGATATAGCGTTGCAGCATCCAAAGAAATTTTGCATGATGCAAGTCTAGTGTGACCGCGGATTAATGCAAATGTCATGGAATTGTGCAAAATTTAGATGAATAAATCCAAATTAGAGCCATACACTCAATCAAATCATGAAATGGACTAGTGTTTGTGAATATTAAACCTTGAAAAGACTATTTAAATATGAAGTTGACATGTTTTGTGTGTCTTCAATACAACTCACCAAAAAAGAAGTTTGGTTTAACTTGAAGAAATTATGAGAAATGTTACTATTGTGCAGTAGAGTGTACTTCTTAAAGTAATAATAGCACTAAGACAAATACAGTTTATTGAAACATTATTTTCAAAGGATTATCACACAATTATTTGTCCGTTATTTAACTGTAAACCTCTGTTGTGCAGCACATTTTGCCAAATAATGAAATTGATAAAATTTAATTTGTAGGCATTTCAAAAGATTAATTAAATTCTTTTATGCATTTATTTGAACTATTTGAAAGGCAACCTAGAAAAAATTAAACTGAAAACAGAATTTGGAAAAATTTATTTCATAGGGCCCTTTTTAAGGACTGGTTTACCCAATAATTAAAATTCATTATGTACTTTATCTTGTTTTTTTAAACATCTATGACAAACACCAGGTACATTTTCATACATTGCTACTGACAATGAGACTTGGTGGTTAGGACATCACTGATTTGTCTCTACATTTTGTTTTTGCAGGATTTGAACACTGTGGCTTTCAGATTTAAGGATAAGGAACGTCCTCGTGGATACACGTCTAAAGTGGCTGGACTATTGCGTGTAGCACCAGTTTAATAAAAACTTGCCAGATTGAGAAAGCACTTGCAGTTTTTGTGTGCACTAAGCATCAGGTGGTGAAACTGCTGTATCCTGCTGGTAACCTTGTGTGATTATGGACTAATTCTGGAAGGAGTGTTCAGGCTTTTAGACAGAACCTATTCTGGGCTCTTATGTAGTTGATTGATGCAGGGGAGTCCAGAATAGCACGTCATTGTTCCAAAAGTTCTCTATTGATCAGGATGGTCTAAATTTGTCCAGAAATGGTGCACTGATCTAATGCCCTGCACAGCAGATTGAGAAGCTCCAGGAAACTCGAACCTTTGATTGGGGATTATGGTCATTACATCAATCTATTTACTGAGCCTGGGATCTGATAAAAGCAAAATTGCATGGCCCATTTCCCCCAAGGGAGTTGTGAGAAATGGACGGTGTCATGCTGTGTCTGGTGCAATGATCTTACAATTCTTTTGTCTTAACTTTTTTTTTTTTTTCTATAAGGGTTGCTGTTGTCTCCAAATCATTTGAAGGACAGACGGACCGGACTGAGGAGTGGTACGGCACACAGTATAAACAGGAAGCCATTACTAATGAGGCTATTAAGGTGAGACACATTTGATTTCGTCATGTTTGAGTTCATTGTTCTTTTTTTGTTCCAAGTACACACACAAACCTTATCTTAATTTTCATTCAGAATTTAGTAGGGGTGCTCCGATTGATCGGCTATCGGCCGATAATGGCTTGGGAAAGTTTGATCGGCGGTCTCTATAAAGGCCGACCTCATAAACCGATCACAGCGCCTGCTGTGAGATGTTTGGCATGACATGCAGCGGCATCGTCTCAATCTCTTATCTGGCGCGGGTAAAATAATTATAATGCTGATATTGAGGTAAAATTCATATTTCTTCAGTAAATAACTTACGAAGTAATTTGCAAACTTTCTTTGAGAGATAATTTCACAAACAGCGTGAGTGTATCACCGCGCGCTCTCTCTTTCCCTCTCTAAATGCGCAAATGGCATCAAATCAGCACATCGCATCTGCACAATAAGCCAGCTGCACAGTTCACACAGGAATTGTCACTTGCACAATCGAGGCAGTGTTGCATTATCACTAAAGTTTATCATTTTTATTTCTTTTTAATTCGTGTCAGTGTTTAAACCATTCAGCACTTGTGCGCTCTCCTAGAGACGGTGCGCTCATGCACACTCAAAGCGTGCACACATAACACCAGGTTCACACATACTCTTGCTTATTTTTATTGCGTTTAAACACGTCTATGAAAAATTTTATTACTGTACTGCGTAAAAACAATCACGTTGCTCAAAAAGCATTTTCAGTAAAAACGTTTGGATTTGAAATCAAAATGGATAAATGTTGTGTTTGTGGCAAACAGCCGCGGATCAGTAGCGGACCTCTGTGTGAAAGCACAATGAGTCCGTGCTGCTTCTGCACCACTTACATACCGCACATGGACTGCATACACACTGCAAACGGAGTATGTGTGAACCTAGCATGAGGCCGCCTCACATACAACTCACGAAATTAGATGATGATAAAAAGAAGGCTTCAGAAAGATCGGTATCGGTGATCGTATCGGCAGATATTGCTTCCTGTGATCGACAATCTGTGATCGGCCCAAAAAATTCTGATCAGAGCGCCCTTATAATTTAGACTAGTGGTGAATGGTCTGGATGGGTAACTAAAAAGGTTGTAGGGGTGATCAATGTATTATGAGCACTGTATGTTTCATCAAAGGGGACTGGCTAAGCTGTGAAAAAGGTCAGCTTGATTTTGTAAAAACTTTAAATTCTACTCTAGGAGATTCATTTTAATTTTGTATTCTGTAATTACCATAATTTGAGGGAGAAAATTAATTGTTTCCTCCTTTTTGTTTCAGAAATGGCAAGATGCAGACCTCAATGGAAAGTTCAAACTGCCAGTGAAGAATGAATTCATTCCAACAAAATTTGAGATTTATCCTCTAGAGAAGGATTCCCCATCTGTCCCCACTTTGATAAAGGTGCTTTATTCTTAAATAAAATTTGTATAATTTGCACTTGGAGTAACTTTAACTGAATTACTCAGTCTCTCAAAAACTGACTTTTCTTTCTTCCTCAATCTCTTGTCCTTTTTTTTTTATTTTTATTTTTTTTAAAGGATACAGCGATGAGCAAAGTTTGGTTCAAACAGGATGACAAGTTTTTCCTACCCAAAGCTTGTTTAAACTTTGAGTTTTTCAGGTAGGTTCAGCATAAAAACCGTACATACTAGTGATTGTCTATTTGTTTATTTATATTTTGCATAGTAGTAACAATTATTAGTGGTAGGGTACTAAGTTGTCAATTATGTATTAGAGGAAGAAATCTATTTTTTAATAAGATATATGTGTATGTATGATTCGTTTCACCCGAAAATGTTATGTAAAATTTTTCATTGTTGTTCAGGTTTTACAGATTTATTTTTTTCTCCCCAGCAGTGGTCCAGTATCAGACTGTTTTTCTTCAGACCAATTAAGCTCATTTTAAAGTTATTGCATTAGTATTTTTTTAAACCCTCTTAAATTCCCTTTGAACTACTCTAAACCATTAAGAAACTACTATTACATTTTTCAGAGATCGACCCTTCGTACTGAAGTTACAATTGACAGGATTTATCACTTGCGTTCTTTTCACAGTCCGTTTGCATACGTGGACCCATTGCATTGTAACATGGCATATTTGTACCTTGAGCTGCTCAAGGATTCCCTGAACGAGTATGCATATGCAGCCGAGCTAGCCGGCCTGGGCTATGACCTTCAGAATACCGTCTATGGGATGTATGTAAGTATGCTAATATCCCCAATGCCACTGTTGGAGGACAGTCCAATTTCACACACAAACAAATGACTACCAGTGGTTGCTGTCCTTGCGATAGTAACTCCAAATGTAGCTTTGTTTGTGACCTTTGCGCAGCTAAAAACTCCTCTCATTCCTTCAGTGTTGTATTATTTATTTATTTTTTCCCATATGTAGAAGTAGTCTAGTTTTAGATTAGTGCCAGAGCTGAGGCTGCATATTCATACTCTTGACTGTGGTCCCTCTCACCCCGTTTCCTTTCGTCTTGTCATGACCCTTCCATACAAATATCACTCCATTTGTTCATTCCCCCCCCCCTTCCATCCTGCTAGTCGCTACCTATATGCAGACCCGCTGCACTGCAACATGACTTACCTGTTTCTCAGGTTGTTGAAGGATGATTTGAGAGAGTATACATATGCAGCCCGCCTGGCAGGGTTGGTCTATGGCATAGCCTCTGGAATGAATGCCATCCTTGTAAGTATGGTGATTAGGTTAGGTTATCTGGTGAAGGGAGGAGCTTGAGGCTTATGAGTGTGCAGGGTCGCTTGTTTATTAACGAGGACCTACAATAATGTACAGTATTTGAAAAATAATTTTTTGAACAACATATTCTGTTACACCAAATACACAAAATAATGATCTTTTAAAAAAGCATCATATGACCCCTTTAAATTCTGCTGCTTTCTGCAGAGTGGTAGGATGTTATACCTTCAAAATCTCTGTCTCTGATTAGTCTGCTAGGGTATTTTGAAACTATTAAGGGTTGTTGTCTTTTGTGTTGGTTTTAAGTGTTTTTAACGATACATGCCCAAAAGAGCAAAACAAAGATAGACAATAAACCGAGTAAATGCATGTTTCAATCTCCAAAATGACAAAAATAAGTAGTCCATATGAGTTGTGGTGCTGTATTTCAATTTTCTTGAACACATCTGACAGATTTGTGAAAGGAACAGACTAACATTTACATAAAAAATTGAGCGCTACAGCATTTTTTTTCAGTTGCATATATTGAAACTGACACAACATGTCACACCATGTTTAAATGTCAGTAACATCAAATGTCCATGTTTTCTTGTGACCAGTCCCCAGTGTTTAAACCCTTATGGAGATCATTTTAAAGTAGCTTGACTCATATCAACCCAAATCTCATACTGAAGGAGAAAATAAAATGGACCCATTTTAAAAACACGTTTTCCACATCTTTGGACTGTATCTTAAAACCGTGATTGGTGTTGGCATGTTTCACTTCTTCAAAGAAATATCTTTTAATGTAAAATTTGTTTGCAACCGGTTTCTACGTAGAAAGCCAGCTATATGAATAAGACCACCTCTGAGCCATATATGAGCTGTAACTTATTTAAAGAGACATGCACCGAAACGAGTCGCTGTGAACAGACAGTGAACAGTTTTTTGACAAGGTATAAAGGGTGTTTTTTTAACACGAACATTAATTAATTTGAACCAAAGTATGTTACAGACAATTCGTGATGACCCTAAAGAATCATACTGACTTGTGGAATATGGGCATCTGATGTCTCCTTTAAGGCAAAACACCACAGGTGAATGGGTAAAATTTTAACTAATAGATACTACCATACTTCTCCTGTTGATTAATCGTGGTACATTAAGACAGTTGTTTTGTTACAAGTATCCTGAAATGTTATGTTTAAAGATGTAAATTAAGCATTATGTAATTGAATATACAGTGGTGTGAAAAAGTATTGGCCCCCTTCCTGATTTATTATTTTTTTTGCATGTTTGTCACACTTTAATGTTTCAGATCATCAAACAAATTTAAATATTAGTCAAAGATAACACAAGTAAACACAACATGCAGTTTTTAAATGAAGGTTTTTATTATTAAGGGAAAACAAAATCCAAAACTACATGGCCCTGTGTGAAAAAGTGTTTGCCCCCTAAACCTAATAACTAGTTGGGCCACCCTTAGCAGCAACAACTGCAATCAAGCATTTGCGATAACTTGCAATGAGTCTGTTACAGCGCTGTGGAGGAATTTTGGTCCACTCATCTATGCAGAATTGTTGTAATTCAGCCACATTGGAGAGTTTTCGAGCATGAACCGCCTTTTTAACCCTCATGTGGTATTCGGGTCCTTTTTGCTCTGAAAATTTTTTCTTTTTCCCGAAAATACTAGTTAATGTTATCGCATTGGACTGAAATTTCACAAAATTTCAGTCCAATGCGATAACATTAACTAGTATTTTCGGGAAAAAGAAAAAATTTTCAGAGCAAAAAGGACCCGAATACCACATGAGGGTTAAAAAGGCGGTTCATGCTCGAAAACTCTCCAATGTGGCTGAATTACAACAATTCTGCATAGATGAGTGGACCAAAATTCCTCCACAGCGCTGTAACAGACTCATTGCAAGTTATCGCAAACGCTTGATTGCAGTTGTTGCTGCTAAGGGTGGCCCAACCAGTTATTAGGTTTAGGGGGCAAACACTTTTTCACACAGGGCCATGTAGTTTTGGGTTTTGTTTTCCCTTAATAATAAAAACCTTCATTTAAAAACTGCATGTTGTGGTTACTTGTGTTATCTTTGACTAATATTTAAATTTGTTTGATGATCTGAAACATTAAAGTGACAAACATGCAAAAAAATAAGAAATCAGGAAGGGGGCCAACACTTTTTCACACCACTGTATAATAATTTGTATACATTTCCGGAACAGAAATCTGAACATTGGATAAAGCCAAGTTCAGGTAAAAAGGTAATATCCTTTAGAATATAGATGGGAACAAAACTGTAATGTTTGTATGTAAGTGCTACTGAAGTGGAGACTTTTGGCTCCGTACCGGAGAAAAGATATATATTGTAACTGAATTCTAAAGACGCAAATAGAAAAAAAAGGTGTAATAATCACTTTAATGTGCCTTTTGAATGTTTTCTTTCCACTAGTCTGAAAGAAGGCATGTTATGGAAGCAAAATCACAATTTACCAGTACATGTAGTGTCTTGCCATAATGAGTAGCTTGACTGTTTTAACTACTTCAGCTGTATCCTCTCAAACTACTTAGTGGCTTCCCCATCACTGGATGGGATGGATGTTCATAGCAGGTGTAAACAGGCTGACTGATGTTGGTATGACGTGGCAAAGCTGGGCTGCTCGTAACCTCACGATTCACTTGGTCCTTACAGTTTACACACAAATTCATCACAATCTGAATGCACTGCGTTGATGGTTGTCTGAAGATGATTTAAAGTAACTTTAAATGTTGTTTTTAGTCTGCTCTGCAGTAGCTCATGCATCTGTGCTGAAGTTTGTGTGTATGTTTGTCCCGTAGAGTGTCTTCTATTCTAAATGTCACAAATTTCACAAAAGCAAGACAATGAAAGATGGAAGTCAGTGCTTGAGCTGTTTTTGTTCTTATCACTCATTCTCATAAATATTCAATGTATTTTTGTGTGTGTCAGCTGTCAGTCAAGGGTTATAATGACAAACAACACATCTTGCTGAAGAAGATCATTGAGAAAATGGCCTCGTTTGAGATCGATGAGAAGCGCTTTGATATCATTAAGGAAGCGGTAAGACACAAACACTCAATAAGATACTTTTACAATAACCGATGACACAATTATTAGCACAAATCTATGCTCACAGGAATCTCTGTAGATTTCCACAGTAGTTCACTTGTACTTTATTTTAGCCAATTTGTGTTTTCAAGTCCTATTAACACATTTAAACATGTTTTTACACCTAAACCAAAATTAAAGTTTTTAATTTAGGCAAGACTGAAAGTTTATTTAATAATCGATCAAAATTTGATAATAAACATTCATAGCACTCCACTAAAAATGTACATTTAAACTGCGTATGAGGCAGTTTTTAAATCTACTTTTTAATCAAATTGTTTCTACTCCAATTAGTTTTTATGTAAACATTTAAATCCATCATGAGAAAGTTATTACATCCACAGTTTGTTCAAACATACGTTAAATAATGAAGTCCTCACTAGCAGGTTAAGTAAAAGGCTAGGCAAGTATAATGGTGTGTGTGCACACCAAAGTGAATGTAATTATTTTCGTTAGTAGATTGCATACAATGTCAATGTGACGTGGATGACACAAATTGGGTGATGCGATTGCCTGCGAACACGCGATATTTGCCTCAATCGTCTTTGTGTCTGAAAAATTTCAACTCAAGTGGGAAATTTGCATGACGCATTGTCGTGCAAGCCACTCAGCGAATAGCTTATAGACATTTATAGCTTACAACTCCCGGTTGTATCTGAAAATGAAGGAGAGCATTATAAAGCAATAAGCCCCAAGAAGCCGTGGTTTACAGTGAATTTATAACCGCTAAGGGGCATTGTTAGGCACGGCGCGATGCGACGCGAAACCCCCTTAGCTGTCATGGGGCTTATTGCTTTTATAAAACTGTTATTCCATATACGTAGTAAGGTTTCACAATAAAACCGAGCAGATAAAGTGTAATGATATAAGTAAAAACAGTATTCTTTTACCAAACAATGTAGTTCCTCAGAAACAGTTGTGGTTCCAACAAAGTGGTTGCCGAGCAACACACAGAAGTAAACAAAGGTGTATGTTTGTAGTGTAATTTACAACAGCTTCGAATGCGGCTCAACCAATCAGAATACAGGACCAGAACTATCCGTTTTATAATAGTGTTTTTATATGTGCGAGTGACGTGAAAAACATCCCGCGAGTAATCTGCAAATATTCGCTTCGCTTTTGGTTGTGCACACACATAACCAATTTAATCAATATCTAATACAGTGCAAATGTTTAGCTAATTTTTTTTTTTTACTCTAGAGGTTTTTTTCTAGGTAACGAATGAGCTATGGACATTAAATGGCTTTCTTGAGGGAAATAATGTTAAGAGACATTGTTTACAAGCTGTATTTTTGCAGCTGAAACACTGAATTATTTTTCGATTGCCGAAATTTAGATGCATCATTAGCAGAAATATCTGTGGATTTGTCTGGGCCTGGTAGTCAGACATTTGGTGTTTTCTGATCTGTGTCCATGAGAAAATGTGCTCTGTAACGGTGATCTACATGAAACTTGTGCGTGAAAATTTTTTTTATTTTTTTTCCTACCTCTCTCAGTACATGAGGTCTCTGAATAACTTCCGCGCTGAGCAGCCTCACCAGCATGCCATGTATTACCTGCGGCTGCTCATGACTGAGGTGGCCTGGACCAAAGACGAACTCAGAGATGCTCTGGATGGTGCGATGCTCTTTCATTGTTCTGTGAAAGCGAGCACAATGGTCTCCTGCTTGTGTTCATGCTGTGACTGTGTTTCTCAGATGTGACGTTTTCTCGACTGAAGGCGTTCATACCGCAGCTGTTGTCACGGTTACACATTGAAGCCCTGCTGCATGGCAATATCACCAAACAGGTTTGTAAAATTTTTCCTTGATGTACAGAAAAGGCAGGTGGGCAGTGAGAGGTTTGTTTGAATTGCTTTGTTCTTCTTTTTGTAAGTTGTAAATTCATTGAATTAGCTCACACATCGATGAAACGTGATGTAATGTTAGATTTTGCTTTCATGATCATGTTATGTTAATGATTTGAGCAGTGCGGTCTGTCTAACTGTCTGTCTGTTGTCTCCAGTCTGCTCTGGGCATGATGCAAATGTTGGAGGACACTCTCATTGAGCATGCTCACACTAAACCCCTACTACCGAGTCAGCTAATTCGCTACAGGGAAGTGCAGGTACCTGACGGTAAGTGCTTAGCATCTCAAACTTCCATGCAACATCTCAGAAGGTCTTACATTCATTCAACTTTTCTCCAATCTGAGGTCTGTATCCACATGTACAGTATACACAACCGTTCAAAAGTTTGGGGTTGGAAAAACTGCTCACCATGGCAGCATTTATTTGATCAGAAATACAGTAATACTGTGAAATGATTACAATTTAAAATAGCTGTTTTCTATTTGAATATATTTTGAAATCATTCTAATATGCTGATGTGATGCTTAAGAAACATTTATTGTAAATGTTGAAATCAGTTGCTCTGCTTTTTTTTTTTTTTTTGTGGAATCCTTGATCTAATATTTTTTTCAGGATACTTTGATGAATAGAAAGTTCAAAAAAACACTGTATATTTGAAATATACGTTTTATGACATTTTATAAATGTAAATTTTGATAAATTTAATGCATCCTTGCTGAAAAAGTATTCATTTTACTGACCCCACAATCGTTTTGCCTATTCAACTTACTGACCTGACATTTAACAAATGTTAATTTACAGGTTCTAATAGAAAAGTAATTAATATCGAAAGGTCCTTCAGAATTTTTACAGTCTAAAACAAAATCTAAACTTTCATTACAGTTTGTGACTTTTTTTTAATTTTTTAATTCTGCATAGTTAAGACCAATATTTAAGTTTTAGATTATATTTAAGTTGTGTAGGTTTTTTAAAATACATTGTATTTATTGTACATTTTTCCATCAATACATCTTCATGGCATAAAATAAATTAAGACTGGTATTAAACCTGAATCTGTGGTGTGTAATTTGAGGTCTATGATATTTGTGTGTTTGTTTTGTGTGTGTTTGTCATGGTTCTTGTGTTTAAGTCCAGTTCTCTGTGGTTATCAGGTGGCTGGTATGTTTACCAGCAGAGGAATGAGGTTCATAATAACTGTGGAATCGAGATTTACTATCAGACTGACATGCAGAACACCCATGAGAACATGCTGCTGGAGCTCTTCTGTCAAATCATCTCTGAGCCATGCTTCAACACGCTACGCACCAAAGAACAGCTGGGTAACACAAACACTCAGGAGAAATGCTCTCAGTTGTGTGTGGCAATACAGTTTTCTATCTCTGTCTATCGATATGATGATTGGACCAAGTAGTTCAGTTTAGGGACACAGACTCTTCCTGCTGCTCCCACTGCTCTTAAGAACATAATTTCTTTCTTTCTGTGTGTCTGACCGTCCAGGTTACATAGTGTTCAGTGGCCCCCGCAGGGCTAATGGAGTGCAGGGTCTGCGTTTCATCATCCAGTCTGAAAAGGCTCCTCACTACCTGGAGTCTCGAGTGGAGGCCTTCCTCAAGACCATGGAGAAGAGTGTGGAGGAGATGGGCGAGGAAGCGTTTCAGAAACACATCCAGGCACTGGCCATTCGCCGTCTCGACAAACCCAAGAAGCTGGCGGCTGAATGCGCCGAGTACTGGGGAGAAATCATCTCCCAACAGTACAACTTCGACAGGGGTGAGAGTCACCGAAATGAACTCATGTTAGCGTCAAGTATCTGAAGTTTTAATGTCATTGTCTTTGATTTTCTTGTCTGATCTAGATAATATTGAAGTGGCTTACCTGAAGACACTGACAAAGGAACATATTATGAAGTTTTACAGGGTTGGTAATGATCTGAATACTTTGTCACACATTGAAACAGATGCTGTTTCTTGCAGCATCATAACAACTAGATTTGCATTTCCTGAAGAAAATGTCTATGCTAAATGTCCAAAATAATAATGTTAGGATTTTGGCTTTGATTCTGTGTAAATGACGTTTTCATAACACTCACGCATCTTTTCATGATGGATGAGAGTCTGTACACAATGTATAACATTATAAAAGCAGATGCATGATAAATAGACCAGTCACATTTCAGTATGCAAATGCATGCAAAAAGGGCCAATCTCAACGGCATTTGCAAATATTTCAGTGAGGCCATTGCTGTCAGTTGCATGCTTAAACATTCTGTCAGGTTGGAGGGAGGTTTTCATAATTTTTATATTAAAAAAATATATTCAATATTTAATATTATTAATATATTATTATTGTTTATTGTTATAAAACAAAGCACATGTAATGCTGATATTGTTGACAAAATGTTTGAAATTGAGTCTGTATATAAAGTAGTTTCTGAGTGCTTAATTTAAATTAACTTTCAGTAAAATGCAGCCCTTGCAAACAAATAATTTATCTTCAGATCTCCAAAAATGCCTCTTGTCATGTGGTTCAATCATCGTGTCTGTTCTCTCCAGGACTTGTTGGCCATTGATGCCCCCAGAAGACACAAAGTGTCTGTGCATGTGCTGTCTAGAGAGATGGACTCCTGTGAGTACTTGAACAATAAGATTGAAACTTTTGAATTGGGCTGACTGAAGCAGCAGGGCATATTTATTTATTTCTACCATGTGTTTCCTGTAGGTCCACTGGTTGGAGAGTTTCCTGCTCAAAATGATGTCAATCTGGCTCCTGCCCCATCACTTCCTCAGGTACTGCATTGATGTATATGTACAGTTGCAATATGCATTTTTCCAATGCGAGCAATTTATACAGAAAACTGACAAATGACAGATGGTTGTTGTACTCTTCAGTTCAAAAGTTTGGGGTCAGTAGAGTGTTTTTTTTTTTTGTTTTTTTTTTTTTTTTTTGAGAAATTATTACTTTAATTCTGCATGGATGCATTACATTGATAAAAAAATGACATTAAAGACATTTCAGAATCTTACAAATGTTTTCTACTTAAAATAAATGCTGTTCTTTGACATTCATCAAAGAATCTAGAAAAATATATCACAAAAATATTAAGCAGCACTACTGTTTTCAACATTAATACAAATGTTTCTTGAGCTGCAAATCTGCATATTAGAATGATTTCTGAAGGATCATGTGACACTGAAGACTGGAGTAATGATGCTGAAAATTCAGCTTTGCATCACAGGAATAAATTACATTTGAAAATATATGAAAATAAAAAGGTGATTTTTAATTTGACTGTTTTTACTGTATTTTTATCAAATAAATGCAGCCTTCGCAAGCATAAGAGTTTCTTTTGAAACCAAATATTTCATGGCCCCAAACCTTTGAACTCTGCACGTTGTAGTGGTTAGTTTTGCCTGGCCAAGCACTGTCGCATTTTCTTTAAAATAAATAAATAAATCACTCATTGTGTTGCTCTGTGTTGTGTGTTTCAGCCGTCACTGGTTCAGGATATGACTGAATTCAAAAGGAGTCTGCCGCTGTTCCCTCTCACCAAACCTCACATCAATTTCATGGCTGCCAAACTGTGACCAGCATCATGGGATAGTCAGAGACGACCAAATATGGAGCCAGTAACGTCGTCTTTGCGTGAGTGTGTTTGTGTGTGTGTAAGCAGGCAGGGCCACGACGGTGCCGCTTGCAGCATTTTTAGTTGTGCTCTGCGTCAGACATGCACACCTGATATCTAATAGATACTAAGAAAACATACAATGTTTGTTTCATGTTGCTTCTGTCAGAAAATTTGTATCCCTATATAATATAGGAATCACTCGCTGGCCACGATGACACTTTTTCATTGTTCGGTTTCATTTCATTTACACCAATTAAGCAAAACCACGAGAAAGCGTTTGGAGAGGCTGTTGTGTAATTTATCAAGATAAGTCTCTCCTGAAATGAAATACTGGCCTTAAGATGATTTTAATCAGTGATCAGGTTTTCTGGCACCTTTTTAAAAGTTTAATTTAAACAATTTGCTTGGAGTTGTTTTTAGTTTCTGTGCATGTTGGCAGAGTTTTATCTTTAAGGATAGTGTTGTAAATGCAAGGTGGTAAACTTGATGGACTTTGATTTTATTTGCGTTTGAAGAAATATCATAATAAACCATTTTTAATATCATTTTCATTTGTTTAAGTAAGTTACTTTGTCCTAAAACAATTCATAAAATACCTGAAACCCTGTTCATTTGACCTAAACTCAGTCTCATAACAGAAATACAGATTCCTCTCATGAAACCTCAATTATGTAAATTGTTTGTGAAAACCATACACAAATCAAACATTTGTTTGATTTGAATTTTAAGTTTGACACAATTGAATGCACCACTGGTTTTTCGAACTATTTTATATGAATATATTCATGAACGGTTAACTGTTCACACTTAACTCGCCCCTATAACAATATCCATATAAAACATGACAACATTTACACTTTCAGGAAGTTATGAGAAACTGACTCTGAAATCCCCTTTAACTGGGTTTGTTTTACTTCTGATGTCTTGACTTGTGATTATGCACTCCTCACAAGCAATAATGTGACTTACAGGACCTATGACTAGTGTCTTAAACTCTATATACTAGGTGTTTTTCTTGACACGCTTTGAGCTTGGTTCCGAGAAACAGATTAGACGAGAACTAGACTTGGTCTGTGCTCAGAAAACCCTCCTGTGACGTGTTTGAAGGCTGTAATTTACCTGCGCTGACACAGGAACATCATGTCGGTCTGTAATCCATGCATGTCCTCATCTCAGGTGTGTGTTATTCTTGTCTCGAGCCAAGTCTTCACCATCACTTGTGTTTCTAGTGCTGAAATTTATTCTGGACTTACTCAGGCGTATCAAATCAACTGTATGCTGCATTTTTTAGAAACTCAACCATCTTATCACCTCCATCAAAATAACGAATACTGTTTCATTCTCTGCGAAACAAACTGTACAATCTGATATCAGCCTCTTAGATGAGTTTGGTTGTGCCACTAAAAGACTGATATACTCAGGCATCTCACTGCATTGGTTTTGGTGGTTTGTGTGTTTTTGAATTTAAAGGATTAGTTAAGAATAGTTCATCTAGAAATGTAAATTTAGTAATCATATTGGTTCTCATGTCGTTCCAATCCTGTATTACATTTTCTTTCACGGAAAAAGAAGTTTGAGTTCTTTTCCATGCAATTAAAGTGACTGTCAAGCTTTAAAAACAGCATAAAAAGAACCATAAAAGTAGTCCTTATGAGTTGTGCCTTATATTTCAAATCTTTTGAAGCCATTTGATAGCTTCATTAATAAACTATTCAAAATGGTTTTCATTAATTGAAATAAAGCTGAAATAAATATTAGATGGGGGAAACTTAAGAAAAATATAAAGTCAAATAAAATGAGTTTGTACTAAAATTGGTTAAAAAGCAGTCTAAATATTGTCATAATAAAAATGGCAAAAGCAAACCAAAACCAAAATTTCTAAAACTTTAAAATTTAAAATGAAAACTGAAAGTAAAAACAAAAAAAAACTATATAATAGTATATACATGATACTGAAAGAACTCTGCTTTGTGAGGAAGTTCAGTTCAAAATCTCAGCTGCTCTCAAATGTTTTGTTTTTCAATGATTTCAATGAAAGCTAAAGATGAATAATGATTTAAATTGCAGTCTGTTCATCACAAATCTATCAGATGGCTTCAGATTATTTGGGTTGTGCAACCAGTCACGTTGAAAATACTTTTTGGTACTTCATGGCCATTTTTTAAGTTTAAAGGGATAGTTCACCCGAAAATTTGATGTTTATCTGCTTACCCCCAGGGCATCCAAGATGTAGGTGACTTTGTTTCTTCAGTAGAACACAAACGAAGATTTTTAACTCAAACCGTTGCAGTCTGTCAGTCATATAATGGCAGTCAATGGGCTCCATGGCTTTGAGAGGCAAAAAAAACATGCACAGACAAAACCAAATTAAACCCTGCGGCTCGTGACGATACATTGAGGTCTTAAGACACGAAACGATCGGTCTGTGCAAGAAACTGAACAGTATTTATATCATTTTTTTTTTTACCTCTGATCCACCGCAATGTCCAACTGTCCTGAGCGCGTTCACAACATCCAATGAGTGATGTATACGCGCAACAGATCGCTTCTGCGCCGGATGTTGTGAACGCGCTCCGGACAGTTGGACATTGCGGTGATGAAAGTGTTTTTATTTTTGTATGAACTATCATTTATTTGGCTCTGGGTCACTGAATGCTTTTATTTTATGGAAAAAGCAGCATGGACATTCTGCTAAACATCTTTTTGTTCTGTAAAATAAATAAAATACAGGTTTGGAATGACTTGAGGCTGAGTAAATGACACTATTGTATTTGTTTTAATTTTGTGAGTGGGGGCGGGGGGTGAACTTCTAGATTGCTTTAAAATCCAAAGATGCATTTCGCATGCAATCGGAGCATTTGTTGCACCCCAAATCCCTTTAACTGTTCTAGAATTAGCTCAGAGTTCTGTAGTGACTGCAACAGATGCTTGTGGTTCTCACCGTAACCTGATGTCACGTGTGTTTTACTGTGGTGAACATTAGGCAGAATATTAGAGTAAAGATATCTAGAAGAGCAGGATTTAATGAGTTACTCTGCATGAATGAGTCTAAGATGAGGTTACATTCTGTTCCAAATCCAAGGAATGGGCTTGTATGTACCAAACTGCAGTCATGAGGTGGAAATGGTTCATTTGAAAAGTTTATTAGGTGGTTTTGAAGTGCATCTGGGGAATGTGTATCTGTGGAAGAGTTTTCGGTTTTATGATAATTAAACAATTGTATGAACTCATTTGTGTTGTTTTTGTCTTTTTGATCTGCACTTAAGATTTTTCTTTGGAGATTCTTGAGCCTGTTAAACATGAAGAGATTTTTAAAGGAATATTCTGCCTTAAAGACAGCTTGCACTCTGTGCTCCGCTTCACCTGTTATGCTATTGATTACTATAGAAAATTTCACCATTTCCTTCATTAATGGACGGCAATGGATTTAAAATGTACAGCTTTCAAAATTGAGTTTCCAAAGGATCAACTACTCGAATGTTTTCATGAGTTTTATTTATTAAATGATTATATTCAATCTTGCAATTGATGTCTATCCCTGTTTTTATATTAAGAAAGTTAGGGAACTTGCTCTCAGGACCCCATGGTGAATGGACACGTTACAAGCTTTATAAAACATAGGCCTGGTTTCACAGACAGGGCTTAGGTTAAGCCAGGATTAGGCCTTAGTTCAATTAGGGCACTTAAGTATCTTTTATAAACGTGCCATAGAAAAAAACATTACTGGTGTGCATCTTGAGACAAATCAATAGTACTAACATATTTTATGATATGTCCGTGCGAGTTTCTTACAGTTAGAACAGAACAGACATGCATTTTAGTCTGGGTCTACACTTAAAGGAATAGTTCACCCAAAAATGAAAATGTGATGTTTATCTGCTTACCCCCGGGGCATCCAAGATGTAGGTGACTTTGTTTCTTCAGTAGAACACATATGATGATTTTTAACTTTAACCGTTGCAGTCTATCAGTCGTATAATGCATGGCAATGGTAACAAAATCTATGAGAGTAAAAAAAACATGCACAGACAAATCCAAATTAAACCCTGCGGCTCGTGACGACACATTGATGTCCTAAGACACGAAACGATCGGTTTGTGCCAGAAACCAAACAGTATTTATATCATTTTTTTTTACCTCTGATGCACCACTATGTCCAACTGTCTTTGGGCGCGTGCACGGCATGCATTATACGACTGATAGACTGCAACGGTTAAAGTTAAAAATCATCATATGTGTTCTACTGAAGAAACAAAGTCACCTACATCTTGGATGCCCCGGGGGTAAGCAGATAAACATCACATTTTCATTTTTGGGTGAACTATCCCTTTAAGCCTCGTCTCTGAAACCGGGAGTATGTGTTACATTTTAAGTATTTCTTAAAATATGCATTTATTGCCATATTGTGTATTTATGTACTTTGCAAAATCAATGTATAGCCAGTAAAAATTGTTTAATACTTCGATATTTCAGAAGTCTCATAAATACCTCGATTCCTAAATGGTTTCAATACTGCGGCCTTAAATATAAAGCATGTAAATTTTGTGCCGATAGCAGCACCACACAATTGCAATCTATTTGTACTGTTAGTGACACTATCGTTTTATATGCTACAGATTTAAGAATAGACTATCACATAATTTATTAGGACACGTATTTGAAATCCTCATTATTATTATTATTATTAGTCCAAGTTAAAAACTCAAACTGCCCAATACACACAGTCAGGCATTGGAAAAATACATTTATTTACATAAATCAACCAGGAAACTATGAATTCAGAAGCCGTGTCTGTACAACGCATCCATTTTACAACATGTTCTGTATTTGGCATTGTGCTTCATCTGTACAACAGGAGACATTACACATACCCCACTGATATTATACAGCACAATTAGATGCTGAAAAGAAAGTGAGAATTTTAAATCCTATTTAGCCAACAGAAAAACTCATCTGCTACTGTTAGTCTTGCAGTTGGTGTAGCTAAACACTTTTTTTCTTAGCAACTAAGTCAGCATTAAGCATGTCCTTTCAGGGTTACGCCTATCATCAAAAGCTGTAATGATTTATTTGAACTCTATGGACAAATAGCACTCCAACAGTTAATTAGGCGTTAAGCTTAGTTATTTACACAAGCCTCTCACAGCCCACTGGAAGATGTTTCATCACAAACTCACATTGTAGTGTAATACTGCATTACAAAACGGTACTAGTATGCACTGCCACTGTCTTTATATACTGTTTTATTATGGTGGCTGATGGCTGGAGATAAAACCGATGCACTACATGAATTACAAATCATAAAACACAACGATTTTTTTGGGGGGGGGGGATGGCATGTTCACCAAATAAACCTGTCCTGGTGTAATAAAAAGGCCACTAATACTCTTAAAGTTCACTGTTCACACACGACTATTTATCTCTGGGAATATATTATGAAACGGGTTTATTCACAGCAGTTATGAGGCATCAAGGTACCATAATGTTTTAATAGTGATCAATTAAGGACCAAACACTGGATTCTCAGTTTGTACAGGACCCTTAACAGACTGACTCTATAAAAGTGACTCCCTGAAACTCAACATCACAAAGATAGAAATGAAACATGATCGGCTGATCGCTTCAATTATGTGAAGGCAGGCAAGACGGTGAATCTCACAAACGCTGTCATGTTTCACCCCAAAAAAACGACTTTATATTGATTTTGCATTTTAAAAAAAAATAGCTTATTTTCAGGATTTTTGCAATGTAAATAATTTTTTTGATTTAAGTTATTTCCATAACGCAAAAAAAAAAAAATTTTCATACAAAATAAATGTTCAATTAGAGACATTTGTATTATATATGTACTTAATTGAAATAAAATTGAAACAAAAATCATTGTGTCCAGACTTGCTTGCTTTTTTGTTGTTGTTGCAAAGCAATTTATTTCTTTTGATTTTGGTGTGAAATATAACAGGAAATGGGGAAATTCATCCGAGAAGACCACATAAAAAAAGGTTATTTTATAAGATAATTACGAGAAAACAGCTTTACGTATTCCTGTTTGCCTTTAGAATCTAATATTGCATTCACTAGTCTAATAAAAGAAGAAAAGATGTGAAACGGCACGTCGTCTTTTGCATGTTAAGGATGCTTTAAAGATTCATTTGAAAGATAGTGATTCATTTGAACATTTCTAATTCAATATAAAACAACCACTTATTAATATAAAACCTTCTTTCAATATTTATTTTTCCTCAGTCTCTTTCTTAAAATGTCAAAGCCCATAAAATTAGTAATGCACTCCCAGGTCTGATCAAATCAACTGAAACGAAGCTGAATCACTATTCAAACGCCAAACACAATAGTCACATTCACAAAAAAAAAGAAAGAGAAAACCAAAATCCAGCGTCTGTGAAAATGTCCTGTAGTGTCTCTCAAAGCTGCGTGAAATCAAAATGACGTGGATGGAATCGAGCAGAGGTTTGATGATGAGCTCAGGCCTCCTCCGTCTCAGGGAAATTGAGGATCTTGCGATGAGCTTGTCGGAGATACTGCTGCTGCTTGAAATAAACCTTAAACGCCCCTTTAATAGCCACAAACGCTATGCCACCCTGAAACAGAGAGAGAGAGATACAGCTCATCAGTGTGAGGATACGCGTGTATAAATCACTGACATCGCTTTCCGTGATGTTCTTGTACCAGAATGGTCCTCTGAAGGTTTGAGTTGACGCTGCTGAACATCAGTTTACCCACGATGGTGGCGATGGTGGGGAACACAAGGGCGCCGCACAGAATGCGTGTGGCTGACACGTGATCGGCCAGCGGACTGGCCTCCGCCGGGATCCTCGGCACTGGGCAGCCGATACCTGCGCGTGACACAATGAGACACGGGATTTATGAGCGTTTTTGGTGACAATTTCACAAAGCTTGTAATAAACAATATGTGACCCTGGAGCACAAAAGGTGGTCTTAAGTTGCTGGGATATATTTGCAGCAATAGCCAAAAATACATTGTATTGGTCAAAATTATCGATTTTTCTTTTATGCCAAAAATCATTAGGACATTAAGTAAAGATAATGTTCCATGAAGATATTTAGTAAATGTCCTACTGTAAATATATCAAAACTTAATTTTTGATTAGTAATATGCATTGCTAAGGACTTCATTTGGACAACTTTAAAGGCGATTTTCTCAGTATTTTGATTTTTTTGCACCCTCAGATTCCAGATTTTCAAATAGTTGTATCTCGGCCAAATATTGTCCTATCCTAACAAACCATACATCAACGGAAAGCTTATTTATTCAGCTTTCAGATGATGTCTAAATCTCAATTTCGAAAAATTGACCCTTATGACTGGTTTTGTGGTCCAGGTCACTCACATATAAGTAGTGATGAACAGAAATATGAGGCAGTTCAGCTTTCCAACTGTGTTCCTTTCAAATTATACTGACAGCTTTTTCAAATGATAATAAACTGGTTTCAAATACTGAATTTTGAGTAAATATTGAGTAAAATAGGTCTTTTACATTTTATTTGCAATAAATCAATTTTATATTAGTGTTCAAATTAAATTTGCAATTAAGAATAGATATATTAGGAAATGTCAATAACATCTATAACCACAATATTTAAAATATTAGACCATATTTATTTAAATTAAATAATACATATAATTATTAAATAATAAACACCATAACTATAATAACTAAATAATCAAACGTAAAAAGAATAAGAAAACATGATTAAATGTGGATATGTATACATTTAAAAAAGTCCAGAATTAAATAATATAAATAAAGATGGAATTTGTGAATGCAGTGAATAAGTATTTATGAAACTAATATATCCAACTGATATATATACATTTTTTTATTATTATTATTATTATTTTTAATTTCGTTAAATATTTATTTATTCTACTTGGTTGTCTCGTTTGGATCTTATTTTTGGTTAGCTTTAACTGTTTTGAATTTAAAAAGTAATTCAAATACTTTATAATCATAATGATAACAATTATCAACCTTAGATAAGCTATTACCCATAAATTAAATACAAATTTTATGATTATATTATGTATATAATATGTATATAATATGTATATTAAGAACTATATTGGATATTACAAATAAACTTATTTTAAAGGCTTTTTGCCCAATTTATTTTCAACTTAATAATAATAACAAATCAGCATATCAGAATGATTTCTGAAGGATCATGTGACACTGAAGACTGGAGTAATGATGCTGAAAATTCAGCTTTGCATCACAGGAATAAATTACATTTTAAAATACATTAAAATAGAAAGCAGTTATTTTAAATTGCAATAATGTTTCACAATATTATAATTTTTCGTATTTTTGATCAAATAATCGCAGCCTTGGCGAACAAGAGACTAAAAAAAAAACATTTAAAATTTTTTAATTATACCAGTACAGTATCTCACGGTTCTCAACCAATCAGATTTGAGAACCAGAACGAACTGTTGTATAAATATATATATATATGCCATCAGCTACTCCGCTCTCTAGATACAAGCATTCAGACCACAGACCCATCACTGTCTGTTGCGTCACCACTGACCTGGGAAGATACTGTTAAGGATCTGAAGCTTATTGGAGTATTTCCTCCAGAGGCGGAGCACATAATCCTCCCAGCGAATCATCTTCCCCAGAATTAGCATAACCGGGATGGTGGGCAGGCCAATCAACAAGAAGAGAGGATCGGCCCGTTCCATCACATCCAGACCTTCCTTATGACCCACAACCTAAAAGAGACAGAGATAGACAGATTCGTAAGAATCAAATAATGCCTGTGAAACATTTCAGCTGTGAGTGACGTCTCACCTGCATGACGGTCACGGCGCCGTATGTGACAGCCGTCCAGTAAATAGATCCCACCATGATTCCAGCAGCAGCAAACGGACAGGCCTTCGAGATCAACCTGTCTGCCAGATCCAGAACAAACACCACCGGCCCTGCACACAAAAACACACTGACTTTAACATATAGTTCGAGGCTAAAATGGGTTTTTAATTGCCGATGACAATATTTTGAAAGTCATGGCCTATATAATGCTGAGAGATATGGTGTACTGATAACAGGATGCACACAAAATTGGTGAATTTAAATGAACACTTTCTTCAAACAATATTTTCACAGAATTATGTTTACATACCAAACAATTATAACATAATGCCAATGATCTCAAAATAACTACGAATACACTAGCAAGGCTGCATTAAAATGATGGAAAAAGGGACATTTATAATGTTACAAAATCATATTTAAAAGATGTTCTTTTGAATTTTCTATTAATGAAAAAACCTGAGAAAAAAATTATCACGTTTCCTATAATATTAAGCAGCACAACTCATTTCAACATTGATGATAAGAAATGTTTCTTGAGCATCAAATCAGCATATTAGAATGATTTCAGAAGGATCATGTGACACTGAAGACTGGAGTAATGATGCTGAAAATTTGAATATATATTCAAATAGAAAAGTTATTTTAAACTGTAATAATATTTCACAATAATTACTGTTCTTACTGTATTTCTGATCAAATAAATGCAGCCTTGCTAAGCAAGAAACTTCTTTGAAAAACATTTTTTTAAAATCTTACCAACCTCAAACTTTTGAAATCTTTACAGGAAACTGTAAAAGGCTCTATATTGCCATGCTTATCATCATGCAGACATTTAAGAAACAATATCATAAAACAAGAGGGAGATTAAATAATAAAAACTAAGTGATGCTGAGGTCTGAATCATGTGACCATCATGCCTCTGGTTTCCCACCTCTCCAGCAGGGGGCAGAAGATGATATTATGATACATTGTGTTGGGAATCAACAGGCCTTCAAATGCTCTTCTCACTATATATGATTATTTATCCAAATTTGAGACGTCACAGCACTGCGAGCACACCAGCTACCGCAGATCATCCAGTTGAATTCACTATGTGGTCATCGTGACACGCCGCAAGGTTTATGGGACTGATAAGCACTTTATTGTCCCATGTGTGATCAATGATGACTATATCCTATATGACTCAGGAATAAAGTTTCACTGCAAAGCACAAAGTGAAACAGTCCTAAAAAGGAATGAGGAAACACTCAAGGTGGAAATCAAGAGGAAATCATGCAATATTTACTGACCTGCTTTCCTCTCAACCTATAAATACCCTCCACTGCAGGAGATCTCTAGGACGACTCTCTGGATTTTCACATTCATTCTCTGGTGAATCAGGACTTTATTTTAACTCACAGTTTCCAGATACATCAAACATGGAGCATTTTACTTCATTACTGTATATGGAACCGCAGCTTTATCCACTACAGAACTTAAAAGAATAGAAGTTTAACACAAAAAAATCATTTCAGATTAATATCTACTGAGCATATAAATTAGATATAAGCTTACAGTCATTACTTCAAAACCAAAGAATACACAACTGTCCTAAAATATACAAATTCATCTCTCCACCAAAAAGTTACTGTATAGGTTGTGAAAAGTTTCTGTGTAAATTAACCTTCAGCACACATTAATTCAGCTCTCAAATGCAGAGCAGACACTCTTCAGGCATGCGTGTGTGTGTGTGTGTGTGTGTGTGTGTGTGTGCGTGCGGCAGGATCACTGACCCCTCTCGAGAATATTAATATGGAATATTCTGATGACAGCGCTGGAATCTGGTTCACGCTCTCTCTAGCACTGCAATGTCAACCTAATGGCTACTGGCAATAGGAATCGCTCGGGCATTTCTGCTGCCGGCCACAGATTCCATTATTAAAAGGGTCATATGATGCTGCTAAAAAGAACATTATTTTGTGTATTTGGTGTAATGAAATGTGTTTATGCGGTTTAAAGTAAAAAAAACACATTATTTTCCACATACTGTACTGTGGGGGCGTGTTCGAACGAGCCGTTTTAGGTAGGTGTGGCTAACTCTTAACTTTTATAAAGAATATCTCTTTGGATTTGAGACTTTAGTCTTTGCAACTTTACAGATCTTCTTTATGCACCAAGAGCTTGTAACACTCTAAAGAGAAAGGAAAAAATGAAATCGCATCATATGACCCCTTTAAAATCATTCAAAATCAACTCCACTTAGCAGGAATACATCTGCAGTCTATTCTTCCTCGTTTTACACCAGCTTCACTGCTCTGCCAAAGAACTGCAGTGGAACAAGGACGTTCTGTTCCCTACAAACCCTCTCCAATGCCAGGCTGCATAAAACAACTACAGTGTGAAGTCATCTCTTCAAGCTGCACTGCTCTGAAAAACATCTTGAAAGTTAATCAGGAGTAGTATATGTGGAAAAAGACAGATGGTCTTTCACCTTCATAGTCATGTAATGGCTTTAGTATTCAGCTACCTGCCTTGGGAGCATTTTAAGGCATCATACATAAAAATGATGCTGCCTTCAGAGATTAAGATATAATTATTTATGCCAAATTCTAAGAAATCAATGCATATACCCTTCATGGATATCATATGTACACATACATATTTAGAAATTTTTGTACCAAATCATAGGGAAAAGAAAAAAATCCTAGTAGTCATATAACTAAGCTTTTTTTAAAGATATTTTTTTCTTTTGATATAATTATTTAGTCCAAATTTTATGGAATTGCTGCATGTATCCTTAATGCATATCATATTTTTTCATATTACAGTTCGATTTCACAATTCGAAAAAATCTTAAATGTTAAAAAAATCTTAAAATCTTAGTCATAAAACTAAGCTTCTTGTTTTTTTGTTTGTTTTTTTCAAGAAAAATATAATTTATGATACTGAAGATTGAAGAAATGGCTGATGACTGATGAAAATTCAGCCTTGCCACCACAGGAATAAATTATATTTTAAAGTATATTAAAATAGAAAACAGTTATTTTAATTTGTATTGATATTTCACAATATTATTGCTTTTACCGTTTTTTTTTTTTTTTGCTCAAATAACAAAACTTCTTAAAAAAAAAAAAAAACATTAAAAGTCTCTTTTGATTACTTTAATGCGTCCTTGGTAAATAAAAGTATTAATTTCTTAAAAAACAAATACTGACCATAAACTTTTGACTTGTAGTGTATATTTCATTCAATATTGTAAAGTACAGATTAAAAATGATTCATGAATTTAACCAACTCATTAAAAAGAATCAGTTCAAAGAGCAATTTGAAACTCACTTCACTATTCACACATCTTTTGTTTCCCAATCTTTCTCAGTCGTCACATTCAATTCAGAAGACAAGCTCACAATGCAGCTAAAACATGCAATAGTTTTGCCGAGGAACCATAGATTAAGCAGCGGTGCAGGAAACCCTCATATTCACGAGCTGTGACGTTCATCTCTCTGACTGCGTCAGTCTGCTTTGCTCTCGTTCCTACAGTTTGAAAGTTAGACGGGGAGCATGATTGGTGCAATTTCACAGCTGGCCACGGTCACCCTGACAACCATATCCCAGAATAAACCCATCGCTGTGGAAAGAGACGGAGAGCGAGAGAGGACGACAGACTGGCCCTCAGGAGGAAGATTACTAGCACAGCGTGAAGAGAAACTAATGTTGTTATACTCTCGAACCTGATCAATTTACATAAGTGATGAAACACAAGAGGATGAAAAGTGACATTTCGCTTCATGAGCAGCGGATTACTGGAATCACAAGCAAATCCTCATCACCAATATCAAAAGAGGGATTTCTCTGGAATCAGGATTGACCTACTAAGTACAAAAAAAACTAAATAAACAAGCGCAACTATTCATAACTACTGCAGTGACATTTGATGAAGGTTGACAAAGTCTGAAAGTATGTCACAAATGTCTAGAATTTTGCTTGTCATCTGTGGAATGTGGAAGTGAACTTTATTCTATTCCTAGCAAAGGCAGGGCAGTTTATTGAATATTTTCACTTTCAATTTAGCCATTAAAATAATCTCTTTTTTAAAAGAAATTAATACTATTTTTAATTTGATCGAAAGTTGACAGTAAAGACATTTTTTATAATGCTAAGAAATATTTCTATCACACAGCAGCAGAATAGGTTGTCAGTCCTGTATTTGAGTCTTTAATACGGTTACGTTCACACACAGTACGGTTATTTACAGGCGTGACAACCGCATTCTGTAACCAAACTCACAGCTGTAAATCTTCAGGACTCACAGCCGCATTCTCGGGACACACGCGCTGTGTGAACGGAACCGGACTGGTCAACTAGTTGTCTGTCACGTCATACAGTGCGAGAGAGAGCCGCTCTGCTTCAGACGGGTTCTGCGCGCGATTAAAATGCTCCGCTCTCCACCCAGATTTAAAAGCTGCTGTCGGTTAATGAAGATTTGACTAAGAACTCGCGGCTCGATTGGACTCTTGTCGTGTATTATGGACGTCGCCATCTTTGATCACTGTCGCTATGGTTACTGGTAAGGAATATGGGCTTAACGCCCGTTGCACGTTCATACCTTTATACAGTCTATGGTTCATACAGACAGTATTCCAAACGCAACTGTTATTTACAGGCGTGACAACCGCATTCTGTAACCAAACTCACAGCTGTAAATCTTCAGGACTCACAGCCGCATTCTCGGGACACACGCGCTGTGTGAACGGAACCGGACTGGTCAACTAGTTGTCTGTCACGTCATACAGTGCGAGAGAGAGCCGCTCTGCTTCAGAAACGCGCGTTTACCGTGTGTTATGTGTTTTCGGTAACTTACAGTAACGGAGAAATGAGCTGCGTGTCATCTGAAAGTGGGGAATCATGAAAAAAAAATGTATCACGTTTTCACAAAAATATTAAGCTTTCAACATAAGAAATGTTTCTTGAGCAACAAATCATCATATAAGAATGATTTCTGAAAGATCATGAGACACTGAATTCACATAGGAAATGTAAAATTGTAATAATATTTTACAATATCAACTGTTTTTACCATATTTTGATCATATAGACCAATTTGGAGTAGACGTCACAGTTACGTCAC